AGCTAGATGTAGTATTCCCCATGATGAGACTGGTAATCAACTCCATGGTGGAATCTACTGTGAGCAGCTGAGTAGCTGCTTTAAGGATGTGGTCTGCTTCTCATATATAAGCAGCAGCTTTGGGAATGGTCTCTAGCTTATGGCACACTTGAACCCTGCATGTAGCTGTGTCTTTGTTCAGCAGCCTGTCATGCTCTGCTGACCTTGGGACTTTCAGTGGACTTGAATTAATGGCCTCCTGTGTGGTTTGGTAACATTGGGACTGTGCCTTTTTACTTGTCAACCTCAGGCTTGTCAGTCTCAGCAGCCAGCAGCTGTCTGAGTGAAGAAAAGCCTCTAGCTCCAGTGGGCCAGGAGCAGGAGGCAGAACTGAAGCTCAAAGTTGGGGGGCTTTCACCCAGCTCCTAGAGTCTGGCACTCTGAACTCAGACTTTACACCTCCAAACTGTAAGAGAATAAACTCCTGTTTATTCAAGCCATCCCATTTGTTGTATATCTTGTCAGAGCAGTACTAGGTAACCAGAAAAAAGGCAGACATGTCTTTATCTCCCCCTTAGCCAATTTTGAAAACATTTCTCATCAGGATTCCTTTAATATTAAAACCAGTGTAGTTCTTCGATGTGAAAAATCATGGAAGTAATTGAATGAATTGTGGTGCTATAGGCCTGCTATCCTCAAATCACCTGAATCCATCTTTATGAAGAGAGCATCCTTGTAATTGCCACTTTTTTTTTTTTTTCCAGAAGGTTCATCAGTTAATTATGAGTCAGTTTACAGTCTGTCTAAACTGACCTAGTCATCCTTCTGAAGGTTTGTAGGGACGGATGTGAATTAACAGCATCTAATATAGCTGGCCACCACCCTTTTGTCGGTTTGTTGTTCTATGGTAGCCTATTACTATGGTGCTGGAAGCTATGCCACTGGTGTTTCAAACACCAACAGGGTCACCTATGGTGGACAGGTTTCAATGGAGCTTCTGGACTTAAGACAGACTAGGAAGAAAGGTCTGGTGATCTAGTTCTGAAAATTAGCCAATGAAAATCTATGGATCACAAAATAATATTATTTGATACAGTGTTGGAAGATGAGACCCCTAGGTTGAAAGGCAGTCAAAATACAATACACTTGAGTATACTAACAGTTGTGAAGATGGTGCAGGAGTGGAAAATGTTTTGTTTGTTGTACATGGGATCATTATGAGTTGGATCTGATCACTATGAGTTGGACTCCAGAGAAACTAACAGCAACAACAGCAATATAGCTGAAGTGATAAAGACTCCCAACTTGGCATGTAAGTCAGCAAACTTTGAAACTTTGGCCTCTGATGTGACCTCTTGAATATGGGCTTCTGTGATCATATCTGCAATATTGAATAGGTTCTAATAGCTTTCTTTATTATTCTTAACCAGAGGACATATTATTCTTAATTAAAGTGATAAGTCTTCTCTCTTACCATATTATGAATAACTCCAAAAGTAGATTTATTGTCCATGTAAATGTTGATTCTTTGGTCCTTTGCCACTGCAGATTCAAGTCAGAGCTTGACTACCAAGTCAGTTTGGCTACTTGAGTAGACTAAGCATTAGGCAATGGAACTGGTCAGATCTGTGTGTTTACAGAAATAGAACATCCTGCACATGGAATACTTTTTTTTTTTCATAATTAACATAAGAGCCATTAATAAACAGTATTAAATCAGGGTTAGCTAAAGTACACATTTAGCTAACCCTGATTTAATACTGTTTAGTTTTAAGATCAAACGCAGGCATCCTTAACTCCTGAATTACTGCCAAACAGTAATGTTGATCTTCAACTAGAATAAGTAGTAAAGTTGCAGAACTGAAATTTCAACAACATTGAAAACTGATAATACAAGGCAGACAATACAAGAATTCTCTAAGTGGTGAGACAACTGACTGAGGAATATTGAGTGTTACCTACACAAATGAGGATCACATTGCGTTTGGAAACTGTATAGTAGAGTCTTTAGCCCAAAGAATAATGGTATGTCATCTACCACTGGGTCAGAAGAGGTAAGTAAATGCACAGTAACTGAGGTATTTTATAATATAGTGTAGTTTGTAATATAGATCTATGGATAACATTTACTTTAGCAATGCCATTTACAAAGCCATTCCAACCTAATAAATTCCTTGGAGCAGGTGGG